TTGGTTTCCAAATGATCTTCCATTTACAATTACAATGTTACGGGGTTCGTAGTGCAAAAAAAACAACCAAAAATGTCCACAACAAAAGAGTTAGGGATGGAAAAACCCACAGGTAGAATGCGCCAAGTGCACATGCCATGGTGATAGGATGCTAAAGCATCGCTCCACTTTTTCCACCCAGTTGTCCCAAGTATCGCACACTCCAGAGTGCATGCAAGGGGATGGCATGCCCATGCATATATATATATATTTAGAGAAAGAGAGAGAAAGAGTCTAAATCTCTCCGACATTATATAGTACATATATATATAAACTGATTGTTCACTCTTTTGGCAAAAGCGCGCAATTCTCTGCCCTGGGCCAGGGATTCTAGGGCGTGGAAGGGCAGCAGTGAAACATATGCCACAGCACATTCTATGTCTAATGGAAAAGGCAATTTCACCTTCTTACTTCGCTTAAAAAGGGCCTCAGATAGAATGTAGCGTTTTCGTGTACGCGTGGACTCAAAATTAGTCAGTTCAAATTTTCAATCGGACATTCTAACTTCCACTCCGTTGGTATACAAATTATGTAACAATTTGGCCAACACATCTCGAGAGTATTTCTTCGATGATATTAGGTGGTCTTCGATCTCGGTTTAGACTGGCCGTTCCCAAGGTGGCAGCCTGGGAACCAGGGGATCTGGAACCTCCTTCCGAGCACCCGTTGCTGCGGCGAGAGTGGGGGCCATGGGGGGATTCAGACTTGGGTCTGGGTCCTGGACTCGTGGACAGTGCTTAAAATGTTTTGAATTTCCGTTCAATTCAATCTGCTTCTTGTTGGCTTTCTTAGGCCGGCTGTTGGGATTGATCGCCCCACTGTATGATGTTGCAACAGTTCAATCATGTGGTTCCCAACCCCTCCCACGTATCAGATTTTACGCAAGAACAGATCAGACGTAGGTGCAAAATAGGGAGCCTCCGTATTGATGCTGCTGCCCCATCATCCGGGCATTTGGGATGCTCATAGATGAAAAGTGCCCCATAGTTATATCATAGCACAGCATGCCATTAGAATTGCAAAAACCAGAAAGTTGCCAACCATGACTTATCTCAGTTCATGAAGCGACAATGAGGGTAAACTGTAATATAGGGTGTAGTTCCACATGTTCCTCTAATGTTGAAATGTCTCTTGAATCCTGTTTGATGCAAAGTCGCATTCTCAGCAGGCCTTCTTCAATTGATATCTAGCCCTTTGGAGCTTGTCGAGACACGCAGTCTATATAAGACTGGCACAATTCTCGATGTGCATTTGTCATAATGTTCTGCTCTTGAAATTATACATACATATCATTACATATCATACAACGCAGACGCCTGCCATTTTCCTCAAGGCCTCATGAATTCCTGGCAGAAAATCAATGACAAACATGCCCATCCAACTGTTCAGGACCAGATTAGACCAAATATGTATATATATATATAGATTATATAAAGCAGGGTACGCCCCCTGGTATCCTTTCTGCCTTGGGTTTTGCTGTTGAAACATAGCTAACCCACAATAAATACGCCGCCGGGAATGCTTGAACAACCGCAAGTGTCACGAATCCAAACAAGTCCTGAACCACCGAGGATACGCTGACTCTGAGCTAGCATTTGCAAGTAGATTTCCGTAAAACGACGTCCTTACCATTCGGATAGTCCCAAACAGCCCGAACTTAGCTCCCAACCCTCAGGCCCATGTCGCAGCACAACGACGATCGGGCACAGTGGATGCCGGCTGGGTTGGGGTCTCAGGTGCAAATAGCCTGTTTGGCGAATGCGCATGAAGTTAAAGGCAATCTTGTTTAGACTTAAAGAAGCATTCTAGATTGATCTCGTTTGGACCAGCAAGAGGTCGTTATATGGATATACTTTCCCAAGCTTTCGTTTCAGTGGTAGTATTAGGGGGTAGGTAACTGTGTTCTTGTCAGCGTAAAAAAACACATTGAGTAGCTTCTGCTATTTCTATTTGTCGTCGTGAGGCTTTGGCATGGCGAGAGAGAGAGAGAGGCAAAAGAGAGACACACACGCACACTGTGAAGCAAAGAGTTCGCAGATTACTATCAACTCGCCACTTCAGGAACCTTCGCCAGTACATGAACACCCTCGAGCCCATCATTCGGAACTCTTCCGCACAGCTCTCAATGCATGGAATTTGCGTCCGAAAGGGCCTTGGCACCTGTGCTACCTCAATAAAGTCCTTCATGTTCTGGTTTGCAGTCGATGTAGATCGATGTGGGGTTTGCAGACTTAACGCAGTGCATATGGCAATAAATATATTGCATACAGTCGGTCCACAGTAATTCAGCACTATGATTTCAGTTTTGACTCGAGGGGGGTTGCAGATCCTCGAGCAGACACAACAATAGCAGGCAATTCTAAAGCACAACAGAAGGTTAATTTGACGATGACTATACATTTTATACAGAGGGGCAAAGCCAACCAGAGAGGCACCACTACATGCGCGTTTGGAAAGGTTAGCATTCCTGTACAGTGTGCCACTGCAGATTGCATGGGACTGAAAGACCCTGGACGGATGTCATCATTTTGCATCATTGCAGTTGTTATGCTTGAGCATTTTCTAGGCATCCGCATCGCTGCAGCCCTCAAACGAGGCAAGAATCCTGGACTGAGTTCGTTGAAATTGAGATGCCTTGATGATCTTTGTATGAGCCTGTGCTTTTTCTGTTGGATCCTAATTACCGGTGACACATTGGTATGTCAACACTTTGGTACCTGCTCTAGCTTGGAGTCCGAACATGAAAGAGAGGGCATTCTCAGATGACGAAGGTGACCACTCATTCACACATGACTTACAGTACTGTAACAAAAAGAACATGACTATAACGATGGCTCATGATAGTGCTCGATTCACAGATGACTTGCAGATAGCGTGCAGATGTTGGCTGAGCATGATGGTCCTGAAGAACTTGCAGATTTACAGGTTGAACTCTTGGACACCATTCTGCCTGAGATGTTGCCACGTCGGGGAGCCCACAGTGGCGGACGACGGATGGATGCGGATGGGTTGCCCGGATCGGGGAACGAGTTCTTGTGGCGCAGATATATCGAGACGCGATTCCGATTCCTCATTGGATTAAATACCTCAATTGTAATCTTGATCATTTCTGTGCTGTTTGGACGCTGCTCCATGGCCAACATCTTACTTTATGTATTTTTATGTTACACACTGCGCATGCACATGCTTGGTGTTTCAATGTACTTGTGCCAATTTAGGGAGGTGTAGGCGGTGCGATTCTTCTGTGTGTGACACGCATGTGTCGCTTATTTCTTGCGGGATGTTGAGACGCCAGATTTGCTACTGTATAACATTTGTGATCCTAGATAATTGTTGAACTTGGGTCAGAAGGCTTTGCTGTGGATGGACAACATGCATGAACCCTCTACAGGTGACTCTGGAATGCCATTCTCAGCTATCTCACGCTGCTCCTACGCCTTCACATTATCCGGCCTTGTTATTTGGTTCTTGGTGTCACTAATGATCTTTTGACACCAACTTGAAGAAATCATTGCTTGGATCCTGAATACTTGAGGCAGTGGAATTGGCCTTGCTTGCCCAGGTTTAATTAAAAGAAGGCTTTGATTTCATGCAGCCGATAGACCTATCCACACTGATTGGAGTCCAGCACTGTCTGCACCAAGCAAATCACACCTGCTACTCTTGCGTTCGCGATAGATGCGTGAAAGGGCGACAGAAGGTTGTGAAAGTGCAACCATGATCAATTAGAACCACCACTGCCGCGAAAGCAAAGTGCCATTCGTCAAGCATCCCCTCTTAACGTAAGGCGAGTCAACTCAAAAGGAACACCGAAGGTGCACGGAAGGCTCAGTCTTGCTTTTCGATGCCCCAACAGGAACCACTGCAACCATTCACGCATAATGGAACCCCTGTGTTTTGGGTTTGGTATGTACTGAGTATTAGTTGTATTGATTCCCAAATCAGATTGCAACAGGGGAAGTCTACTAGGAAGCCATTGCAGAACAGTTTGCAGGATATGTATATCATATATGTTTGTGTCTGTCAACGGTAACATGCCAGCTCGTTAGAACGTGCTTAGACTACTTGCCACGCCATTTTCGGTTTGGGTGAGAACAGGGAGGTCAGGCCGTTCTGTTGATCTTACCCGCTGCTCATCTTGAGGCCTCTCGCGGGACTTACGGATCCGACCAGCTCCGGTGAGCTCGATGAGATCGGTGTTTGGCTGGGTTCAAGGGCAGGTTCTTGAAGGGACATAGATTAAATTTGGAGATGGAAGTTCAGGGCAACGCTTCCTACCTTGCAGTGTGACTTGGGTGTCAGTAATTGGCCTGGAGCGGCGGATGACAACCAAAGATGGTTGACAGGAAGAGCACTTGCTTGGAGGATGCTAAAAGGCTTCAAGATGTGCAAAAAGCAAACAGTTTGTAATCTACTCTCTACAAATCCTAGCTCAGAATTGCAATATCGCGTTCAATTGGTTAACGATGAAAGCCCAAGGGTCCTTCTCGTCAGTGATATGGCTGAGGCGGCTCCACCTCCACCAGGTACCTGCTCTTCGCAGAGTGTAGTTGAGATGTTTGGCTGTAGAGGTTCCTTTTGAACGTGGGACGAGTCGGGACGAGGGACTGATTCTATACATTGAGTTGAGCATAGCTTCTTGTTTCTACTAGCTTCTTGTTACTACTGTACTAGTAAGGCACTTGTTACTAGAAGCGATGCACTTGTTCCTAGTAGCTTATTGTTTCTATAAATTAAGTTGAGCAGATTTTGAGCAAATTGCTGGTTCGAATCACGCTGCATGCATGGAGGCATGGAGGTTACAAAGTATTACAAAGTATAGAGTCTAGGCCGCGCAGGCCCCAGAGGCCGACGACCTAACCGCACTCTCCTCTGTCTCATGATACTATATGGCTCCAACGAAGGTTATTTGGAATTCGTTCGACTTCAATCTTTCTGTGGTAAGGACATGTGACATGAAGGTATAGCATACACTGGCATGTGCGGCGCAGCGTTGGGCTCATAACCATGGATTCCTTGGATTTTGCTGTTCGTCCCCCCACCGTGGGCCGAGCCATTGGCCTTGCCGGATGTGGAAACGCATCCAGTCGGGTCTCCTTGGCCTCGGCCTCTCGGAGCGGCGGAATGGCCGTAGCGGTGGCGACCCTGGCGCTGGCGCATCACACCCGTCAGAGGCGAACGGAACGAATGAAGCAGATCCAGCTGAAGGCTGAGTTGAAGGCAGCTGCAAAGGTAGCTACCTCCAGAGAGACGCCTGCACCACACGATTTGCTGCTGAGAGTAGCAAGCGGTGAGGTGGGGGACCATACTCCAGTGTGGCTCATGCGGCAAGCAGGCCGCTATATGAAAGCCTTCAGGGCGTACTCTGAAAGATACCCTTTCAGGCCAGGGCTTGAAGTTGCTTGTTGTTGAAGAGGACGTGCCAATTCACCAGTCATCCCCCCAGCCTTCTCTCAACCCTTTTGTGTTGATTCTGGTACGTGCATTTTGGGGGTATCCCATCTGTTACAATCTCAGTGTCTTGGGCTGGGATCGCACTAGAGCCTCTTTAGCAAATGAGAAGGGTTCCTTCGGTGTCAAGGCAACGCTCCGAAACGCCGGCCATGGCCACCGAGTTGTCCCTTCAGTGCTGGCGACAGATGCTTGGGCTGTGAGTATTTGTGGCCGGTGTTTGCAAAACAGAAACCTGCATATACTATAGATCGAGTGACGAGAGAGGGAGAGACACAGAGAGAAGCCGTGCGTTTGCTGAGCATGCTCACCCTTTCGGTTGGCGGTCGCCTTTTGGCCCTCCAGCTCAGGAGCCCCTAAGGCCCTAGTAGCTTCTTGTTCCTAGTAGTGACGCCAGGAGCCCCTAGTAGCTTCTTGTTCCTATAGTAGTAAGGCCAGGAGCCCCTAGTAGCGTCCTTGCTCCTAGTAGCGATGCCAGCTCTTGTTTGTCTTGGCAACTGAATTCTATCACTTGTTCATGGTTGCTTGAACGGGACCGGATGGACAGGCGTTAACAGCTACAACAGTGGGGCAACATGGAAGAGATGATGGTTTTTGGCGGGACCTCCCAATTGGAGTGTTTGCTTGTTCAAGACAGAAGCCCCGATTCTACAACACGGTGTATTTTCCTAAACTGTAAAGGCAATTCTGCAGCTCTACTGTTGCCTTCATCTACCTGCATACTACCCAAAAAGATCTTGCTCGGGGCTGATTCCGTGACCAAGGTATGGCATGGATGGTGTCATTGCGTCTTGGCCACACATTGGACAATGGTCGAAGGTCCCAAAGCAGGTAGATTCGGGCAGGTTCACGATGATTCGTGCAAAGGCACAAAATGGTGAAGATCCCATGAGAATGCTTAGGAACAAGGGGACTATTAGTAGCTCCTGAAATCGCTACTAGGAGCAAGAAGCTACTAGGAACAAAGGGCATCGCTACTAGGAGCAAGGACGCTACTAGTAGCTATCTTCATTTATTCACCGCGAACATGCTACTCAGAAGTGTTGCTGCTGCTGCTGCTGCTGCGGCAGAAGCAAGTCCCAGAAGGTGTATTCAATTCCAAGGTCATGAGGCTGTGATTCGGACCCGTTTGCCGTGAGTGAAAGCCTTACGGCTTAGGTTGGATTGGTTCTGGTTTTGTCCATTGTCATCAGGGTCTTATTCTGGGGTCTCGATGCTGCACCAAGTTAACCAGTCGTCACAAGCTTTTGACGTGACTGTTGTGCAGGTCTTTTCTGACATCTTGACGCCCCTGCCAGCGATGGGTATCGAATTTGATGTGATTCGAGGGCGTGGGCCCATTGTTCTGGGCGACCTCGCAAGAACATTGAAGGAGCCTCAAGTGGAGGGGCGTGGGACAAGGAAATGACACTGCTCTGTACACTCAAGCACTAAGTAAGCACCTACACCCCTCATGATCATAATGTAGATATCGGAGGCGGAGCAATGCATGCCGAGGGTGGCATGCACGATACTGTCAGCAGCTTTCAACATTGATGTTCAGCACCTCGCAGGACCGGCTAGAAGACGGACCTAATCAAATTAGGAGCGGAGGGTGGAGGGTGGATTGGGGTATCGTCAGGGTGATTTGATACTCAAGTGCTTTTCATGCTGGCAATTTATGATGTGTATGCCTGTCCCAACCTCCAGGGCTGTGGAGAGCAGCGAGGCCTTTCTAAAGAGCCATGCGTTTGTGCAAGAGACCTTGCAGGCAAGGGTCTTGAGCTTGGTCGATGAGGATGAATCTAACCGAACCGCTCTGTATATGATACGTATGTCACATATGTCCTTAGTGCAATCTCTGCACCCAAAGCCATTATTTATAGAACCCCCGCAAGATGATGTTGGATAGCCGACTTGTTGCCAGATGCAACTCAATTTTGGCGTAGTGGAATCACCTGTAGGTTTTGCGATCCGAGACGGAGGGTAAGTGCAGCTTGCTGGGCACTGACCTTGGAGCACTGAAGGACCAGAGCGACTGCGGAAATGATGGCTGGACCAGTGTTTGGCTAGGGGTAGGTGCAGACAGTTGCTGCGTTTTTTTTTCCCTCAGTTCTGTTGGCCAGATGTACAGCATCAGCCTGGTACAGTTAACAAAAACCTAGCGAGTGCTTTCCCGTTTCCCACTGAGCATCACTCTCAGCATTGAGAGCTTTTGGTTTTAATTCAGCAACTGTTTCCCGGCACATGACTGGGGCCCAGGCTTTGTGGGCGCGCCATGGACCCTCGCAGCCTATGCCGTTGAGGAGGGCTCCTGGAAATTGAGTTGGGTGAAGATATGATTGGTTTGCCAAAGGGTCTTCCAAGCCATATTTCTACCAGGCAGAGTCAGGCAGACCAAAGCCATGGTCGCTTTTGCAATGGACAAGAATTACTATAGTAAGGGCTCCGCCCTGGTGCCGCCGACCCCCATTTTGGCCAAACGGATCCTTCCCACTCACATTCCCCTTCGGGTAGCTAGAAGAGCGCCAGTCCTGTCTGAGAAAGGACCTGGGCTCCCGGACCGTTGTCACCAGGGGTCCATAGCCAAGTCCATTGTGAGACAAAGTTGGGAATATCAAAATCATTCAAAATCTAACAAAATGGCTAAGTTGGATACCTGAACCTCCATTCCAACCACCCATCGGCTCAATCCGCTGCATCTCGCACAACAGCGCTGCATTTTCCACACCATCCGTGGGAAACTCAGCTGAACTCCGCGGAAGCGAGCTTGTTTGTCAGCCTCAGATATCACATGTGCAGCCCTAACAACATGTCGGGGAAGCTTCGGGAAACCTTTGGGCTCAAAAGACTATTTTGCACTTCTCAGCCAGGGGGCCCAGTGAACCAACGCATGGGCGCAATATGCTCCAGTCCTTGCTTTTGCGATACTGCGCAGCACTGCTTAATTCGCCCAATCCAATCCTCTGTAATGTAGTCCCTTGATTTATAAACCCCCCCCCCCCCCCC